TACAACCACCCTGCCCATACATAGACTAACATTCAGCAGGGACTGGCTGAATTTCAATCCATGTATGGCCGTCTTTGCTTAGGCAAGGAGAGAGAATTAGGGAAAAGCCAACTGTAAAAATGGACAATAGTCCTAATAATAAATAATAATTGCATACAATAGTAACATTAACCGCTTTATTGCTGCCCTATAGCAGAAATACTGCTACAGGGCAGCAGTGGTGTGCGAAATCATGTATATATACATGATATTGCATTTCCGGGTAGGGGGCGTGTGCACCCTACCTTCGCCATTCGCTGCCTCGGCTGTCAATCACCGGGTCCTGGCCGGTGATTGCCGAGCATCTCCGAGGGAGTGGGGTGGGGGAGAACTGTTTGTAAACAAAACAGTTCTCTCCCCTGTCAGTTCCTGCACATTGCTTTGTATGGCTGTGCATAGCACAGCCATACAAAGCAGTGTGCTTTCAGTGACGCACAACTACAGCCCAGATAGTAAAACCGCACACAGCACACTGTTAACCCTTTGATCGTCCCAGATGTTAACCTGCCCAGTGCCATTAGTACAGTGTCAATACTTTTTATTGTTACTGGTCACTGTATTGGTATCACTGGGGATGTCAGTGACACCAAGTCAGTTCCCCCGCAGTGTCAGAATGCCTGCTGCAGTCCCGTAGATCACCGCCATCACTAGTATGAAAAAAAAAATTTAATTCCAGTATATATACCGCCATTTGTAAATGCCATAACTTTCACGTAAACCAATTAATTTACACGTATTGGGATTTTACTGGACATGTTTAATAGCAAAAAGTCTAAAAATTGTCAGTCCTTTTATGTTTATAGTGCAAAAAAAAAAAATTAAAAACACACAGGTGATCAAATACCACCGAAAGAAAGCTCTATTAATGGGGAAAAAAAGGACATACATTTAATTTGGGTGCAGCGTCACATGACCACGTAATTGTCAGTTAAAATAATGCAGCGCCGTAACGCAAAAAAATGGCCTGGTCAGGAAAGGAGGTAAATCTTCTGGAGGGCAAGTGGTTAATCAATGAACAAAAAAGGCAAAGGTAGTCTGAGATACTAAGTAAAATGCAACACTGATGTAGTAGGGGTGGTGTAGCCAACTCTAAGACAAGACAGAATGGAGTGGCACAAATACTGCCACGGTGCAACTTTCTCAACCTTGTTTACATGGAAGAACCCTTTTAAATAATTATCAAGGCTCAGGGAACCCCAAATGGTAATTACTATATCTATAGCACACAGTACATTAGTGTGATGTTCAGTGGGAAGAATGCTCCTTAGATTTGTGGTCATTAGCAAAAATCCACCCCTACAGATAGATAAAAAGACCATTGGTGTCAGTGGTTGCTTATTTGAGAGGCAAGGATTGCCCAATGCTCAAGGAACTCCTAGTTGCTGGAGGAACCCTGGTTGAGAAAGGCTGGTGTAGTATATTAACCTCTTCCTGCCCTCTCACCTATGTGCCTTAAAAAAATGTATATGCTGTGATTCAAGTGTGGTAAAATATGTAAACATGTCAAAAAAACTGAATGCGTGCTAATGCAGAACTATTGTCAAAAAAGAGCCCAACCCAACCAGTCAGCCTGATCTTTGCTTTGACTAGAGATCATATAACTAAATTCCCAAGCATTTGGCTAGCTAGGAATTGAAGAACACAGTAAGGTAAATATTTTATTTCTTTGGTTACATTTTTACCATAAGGCTTGGTTCACATACAGTTGCAAGAAAAAGTATGTGAACCCCTTGGGATTCCGTGGAGTTTTGCATGAATTGGGCATAAAATGTGCTCTGAACGTCATCTAAGTCACAACAATAGAAGAACACAGTCTGCTGAACATAATACTACACAAACATTAGATGTTGCCATGGTTTAACTGCACATAACATGTAAACATTCACAGTGCAGGGAGGAAAAAGTATGTGAACCTTTGGACTTAATAACTGGTTGACCCTCCTTTGGCAGCAATAACCTCAACCAAACGTTTCCTGTAGTTGCAGATCAGACCTGCACAACGATCTGGAGTAATTTTGGACCACTCTTCTTCACAAAACTGTTTCAGTGTAGCAATATTCTTGGGATGTCTGGTGTGAATCGCTCTCTTAAGGTCATGCCACAGCATTTCAATCGGGTTGAGGTCAGGACTCTGACTGGGCCACTCCAGAAGGCGTATTCTGTGCTGTTGCAGCCATTGTTTTGTTGAATTACTTGTATGCTTTGGGTCATTGTCCTGTTGCATCACCCATCCTCTGCGGAGTTTCAGGTGGCGGACAGATGGTCGTACGTTTTCCTGCAGAATGTCTTGATAAACTCTGGAATTCATTTTCCCTCAATGACAACAATCCGTCCAGGCCCTGAGACAGCAAAGCAGCCCCAAACCATGATGCTCCCTCCGCCATGTTTTACAGTGGGGATGAGGTTTTGATGTTGGTGTGCTGTGCCTTTTTTTCTCCACACATAGTGTTGTGTGTTCTTCCCAAACAACTCAATCTTGGTTTCATCTGTCCACAGTATATTTTGCCAGTAGTGCTGTGGAACATCCAGGTGCTCTTTTGCAAACTTCAAACGTGCTGCAATATTCTTTTTGGACAGCAATGGCTTCCTCCGTGGTGTCCTCTCATGTACTCCATTCTTGTTTAATGTTTTCCTTATTGTAGATGTGTCAACAAAAATGTTAGCATGTGCCAGAGATTTCTGTAGGTCTTTAGCTGACACTCTGGGATTCTTCTTTACCTCATGCAGCATTCTGCGCTGTGCTCTTGCAGTCATTTGTACAGGACGACCGCGCCTAGGGAGAGTAGCAACAGTGCTAAACTTTCTCCATTTGTAGACAGTCTGTCTTACCGTGGACACATGAACATCAAGGCTTTTGGAGATACTTTTGTAACCCTTTCCAGCTTCATGCAAGTCAACTATTCTTGATCGTAGGTCTTCTGAGAGCTCTTTTCTGCGAGGCATGGTTCACATCAGACAGTGCTTCTTGAAACCAATAAACCCAAAACAGGTGTGTGTTTTTTAAGGGCAGGACAGCTGTCAGCAACACATCCAATATCATCACACTGATTGGAGTCAAGGTTGGCTCACTCCTGGCTCCAATTAGCTCTGGGAGAAGTCATTAAGCTAGGGCTTCACATACTTTTTCCTCCCTGCACTGTGAATGTTTACATGTTATGTGCAATTAAACCATGGCAACATCTTATGTTTGTGTAGTATTATGTTCAGCAGACTGTGTTCTTCTATTGTTGTGACTTAGATGACGTTCAGAGCACATTTTATGCCCAATTCATGCAAAACTCCACGTAATCCCAAGGGGTTCACATACTTTTTCTTGCAACTGTATATGCATCTTGCATTTGATGCTTTCTCCGGTGCTTTTTGCAGTTTGTTTTGCATTTCTCTACAAGCATTTTTACCGTTTTGTTCAGCTCTTTTTTTTTTTTTTGTTAAAGTGGACTTTTTTTAGTTGCTGGGCATAATAATGCATTACCATGCATTTCAGCAGCTTCTCCATTGAACTCTATTGTAGCAAAAACACTGCTTTTCACTTTTAAAAAAAAGTCCCTGACCCTTTCCAAAAATGCAGCAACTCAAAAAAGCATAGATGTGAACATGTTCCATAGGAAACCATGTTAAATGGACTGTAGTGCTTGTAAACCTCAGACATGAAATACTGTATGAACAAAGTGAATCCCTGTATAATGTGTACTTATCTCAATTAAGAGCCCTAAGTGTCATTTCTTTCTGCTGCTTCGTTATTCTTCTATCAACATAAATCACTTCTAGCAAGTTTTCCTGACACCAAGAGAAAAAAAGGTGACAGGGGAGGGACCTCCAGCAGATTAACAGTCTCAGTTCTGTTCCTGTGTGCTGTGTGAAAGGGTGTGTGTCCCTTCCCTCCAATCAGCTCTCAGAGCTCTCCTCGCTGAGATCTGCAGAGTATAATTTCAGCTCTCCTCTCCCTTTTTTCTGAACTCTCAAACAAGCTTTTTAAATGCAGCACTTTGAATGGCTGTAGAGAAGAGAAGACTGCAGCTAGACAGGTAAAACTTATGTAGGAGGATTTGAGTCATCTCTGTGTATCGCTTGAAGCCAGTCACTTCACTGGGTATATGTAAGGGTTTACAACCACTTTAAAGCAGAACTACACTGCATCTGAGCACAACAAACCAAAACCGCTATTTATTTCATTTTTAATACTCAAAGGAAACTCACCCATCCATTTATGTCTCCATGCTTCATTTTGCTGAAAACCCACTTTAAAAAACACCCCATAGTATTTCTGGCCATGGCCTTCTTGAGTAAAGGCAGGAGATTCATGTAGCATTTACTTCCTTGAATCCATCTGCCCTTAGTTCAGCCATGCAGGCGGGTATGCTTAGCTGAGAAAACCCCTCCTCCCCTCCTGAAGACTCCTGGGATGAAAGATATTATTTACCTAGGTCTGGTAACCAGGACATAACTTAAGAAACATAGGAAAAAGTTTATAACAAGTAAATATAGTATACTTTCCTATCTATCTAATAGGACTAGAAGCATAAGGATTAAAAATAGTAATGCTCATTGAAAGAGTGAATTTTCACTTTAAGAGACTGGGAAGGGAAGGTTACTATAATTTATCTTTTACATATACTGTTATGTGCTTGAATGGAGCAGCTATGAAAAATATGCTGGTTGTGAATTTTCGACCAAGGTATCCTTGGAAACAACAAAAACCCAACTGTCTTAAGCACATTAAAATACAGCTAAAGAAAACAAAGAAATAAATGTATTTTTATAACATGCAGAAAAATCACCCTCTATCCTTTTGGCATGGAACCCAAGAATCTACGGGAATATGATTTTTTTTTTTATACATCTTTTACAGGAGAGATGTCTGGTTCCAATGTAAATGGCCCACTCAAATTTATGATGTGGTTATGACTAAGACTAAGTTATTAAGTAAATGTTCAATTATGGACCACAAGAAGAATACTTACGCTAGCAAGATGACACTGAAATCCAGCCAATTCCAAGGATCACGCAAAAAAGTAAACTTTTCTAAACAGAAGCCCCTTGCAAGAATTTTAATCAGCGATTCTAAAGTATAAATCCCAGTGAAGGTATATCTGAAAGACACAATTAAAGAGTCCTTGTGGTGTATGAATTATTCATGAACAACAAGAAAACCATTATACTAAAAATAAGAAAAATAAACTGCAACAAATACATCTGAATATAATTACACAATATTAGAAACAATAAATGAACCCTGGGTGATTCAGTGGAGCCGTGAACAAAAATCAATCTTAAAGTGACAAATTATAAAATTGATAAGAAATTGATAAATAAAAAGTCCATAAATTAATTCCAAAGTGATAATCTTCTATTTACTTCCCAAAACTAAAATCACCACGTGTTCAAGAAAAAGCGTTCCTCCTTATGGGTATACACTCACCAAATTTCCATGCCTCCCACTCTTATGGTCGGCATATATCACTTTGAAAAACTCCAAATGGGGAGGTAATGTGACAATATCAGCATATCCACAATCATCCTTGCTCCTTTCCCCCAGATGCAATGTCCATGAAAGAATAAAAGGTAAAAACTCCAATGGTGCAGTACAAATAACACCTTTTATTAAATGAATGCAGACAGCCACCCAAAAGATAACTGATAAAAACACGCCTGTAGATAATATGTATGGTAGTGTGATGGATTGCAAGCAGTGCTCTCACCACCGCCAGATCCCAAACAATGGAGCTCTCGTGTCACTTCCGGTTCCGATACCAGACATCATTTCTGGTTGCCACACAGCCTCAACTGATGCGTTTCGTCACTTCCGACTTAGTCACGGGGCCCTATGCCGACCATGAGAGTGGGAGGAATGGAAATTTGGTGAGTGTATACCCAAAAGGGGGAACACTTTTTCTTGAACACGTGATTTCGGTTTTGGGAAGTAAATAGAAGATTATCACGTTGGAATAAATTTATGGACTTTGAATTTATCAGTTTCTTATCAATTTTATAATTTGTCCTTTGAAAAAGATTTTTGTTCACACGCCACTGAATCACCCAGGGTTCATTTATTGTTTATATGATTTATTTAATTTTAAGGTGGCAGCAGTGTTTAATTTGGATGTATTTCACTTATTTATTCACTTATGTTGTTTTTTGTAATATTTGTATGCATTTAGCGCATAGGTCTTTTTCACATAGAATTACAATTTTGCTCAATCTTCTAGACCGCTTTAAAATATTTGGACTCCTTCAATACATAGAGCAAAGTGCAATGATGATGTGCCAACTATGGTATTCCATACCATTCAAACATATCACACTGCTATAATCTTAGAAGTAAGAAGATAATGCTGCCAAAGGACAGTAATTCTGAATTCAGTCAGGGATTGATTTACTAAAAGGTAAATACTGTAGACTGTGCACTTTGCAAAGTGCAGTTGCACTCCGCATGTACAGTCAACCCAGAGCTTAGTAAATGAGGTAAAGCTCCACTTTGTAAAGAATACCCGATCACATGCAAGAAAATTATTATAAAAAATTTATTTTTTACTTGCACATGATTGGATGATGAAATTCAGCAGAGCTGCTCATTTACTAAGCTCTGAAGAAAATGCACTTTGCAAAGTGCAGTCTGTTTGCCTTTAGTAAATCAACCCCTCAATCTCTTAATCTGGTAATCCCTGCTATAGAGGACAGTCAGGTCCTCACCAATTGCCATTTCAGTTAAAGTGATATTAAAGTCAATTAAAAAAAACAAACATGTTATACTTACCTGTTGTGTGCAGTGGTTTTGCACAGAGCAGCCCGATCCTCCCCTTCTTGGGTCCCTCGTTGGTGCTCCTGGTCCCTCCCTCCTGTCTTTGGCATGCTATGGGGGCACCTTGCTCCTGAGTTGCTGCTCTGCATGTCCGTTCAGACACAGAGCCGTGGATCGGACCTGCCCCCTTTCTCTCCTTATTGGCTCACTGGCTCTGACAGCAGCGGGAGCCAATGGCTTGGTTCACATATACACATTTTACCTGTGATGCTTTCTCCAGTGCTTTTTGCAGTTTGTTTTGCGTTTTTCTACACACGTTTTATAGCATTTTGCTCAGCTTTTTTTTTTTTTGTTAAAGTGGAATTTTTTTGTTGCTGGGAACAATAAAAATGCAAAACACAAAATGCAACAAAAACACACTACCATGCATTTCAGCAGCTTCTCCATTGAACTCTATTGTAGCAAAAACACGGCTTTCTGCTTTTAAAAAAGTCCCTGACCTTTTCCAAATGGCAATTGCCAATGGCTTCCACTGCTGTCTCAGCCAATGAGAAGGAAGAGTCACCGGAGAGCCGAGGCTCTCATGGACATTGCTGGATCACGATGGGGCTCAGGTAAGTATTAGAATGCATGAAGGTAAAAAAAAAATGTGAGCCTTTACAACCACTTTAGGCCACTTTCACACGGGCGTTCGTGTGTCCGTTTTTCATGTGACCGTTTATGGATGAAAAACAGACCCCCATGTATTTCTATGGACTTGCGGATGTAAATGGATGAACATCTTTTTTACATCCGTTAATGGCCACATCCGTTAACATCTGTTTTTTTTAACGGAAGAAAACCCTATTTTTATTAAAAAACCCAGAATGGACGAAAAACGGATGTCAACAATATTAATGGATGTAAACAGACCAAAAACAGATGTAAATGGATGAAAATGGATGTAAACAGTTGAAAAGTGGGTGAAAAGCAGATGTAAACGGATGAAAACAGATGTAAACCAATGTAAACAGATGAAAATTGGATGTAAACGGATGAAAAACAAATGAAAAAAACAAATGAAGAAACGGATGTAAACTCACCCGTTTTTTCTTTGAAAAAACGTGACTGAACAGAAGAAAAAAAAAATAGAATGCCCGTGTGAAAGGACCTTTAAGCAGCTTAGGCAACTTGTGCCCATTCTGCTAGTTGGACAGGGAGGGAACATCTGTACCATGATGAGGGCATCGCTCTTCTTTCTCTCACTGCCAGCAAGCTACCAGTGTTAGGTTGACAGCACTTTCAGAGTCACTCCCAAAGCTGACCTGACCTTGGAGTCCTGCTTCTACATTGGAGCTGAAGAGTGTTTTAAAGTTAAACTCTGGTTCTGATGACAAAAATCAATTCCCTCCAAGTTACCTTGCAAGCATCTACAACTGTCTGCTATGTTTGTGATGGGTTGGGTCTGGCCTGACTATAACCACTTGATCAGTCTCAGTGTTGTAACACAAAATTGGCAGTTTCAGGATAGCCTAGCACATGACTTTCTATCACATCAAGTATAAGGTCTTGTTCACACCATGTCTGAGGAGCTGCGCTGATCTGCATAGAACAACCTAGACTCAACACAAGGTCGCTGTGTTATTACGCAATACACTGTGCTACAATGTGCTGCGGGTGTGTATGTTAAGTTAATAACACCCCGAAATCGGTTCGCAAATGCGGTGCGATGTGCAGAATCAGATTGCATGGGTGCGAATACCCATGTGATCTGATTCTAGTGCGGACCAAAAAAAGGGTCCTGCAGCTTTTTGGTGTGGATGCGGTGCGATTTGGGCCATACATAAAGTATGGCTTAAATCGCACCGCACAGAATTCGTATATGATTTGCACAGGATTGCAGTGCGGTTCCTGAATCACATGCGATATACCGCACCGCACAAGTGTGAACCCAGGCTTAAAGCTTTTGTTGGATCAGCCATGGCAGGAGGGGAGGAGGGGCAGGCTGGATCTTATGACTATAGTTAGAAAGCACTTTGAAACTTGGGGCAAATAGTTTACATGTACTTTGTCTCACAGATGATAGAACGTCTTTAAGCCCTGGTGCACAATGATGTGGTGTGGAATTTGCAGCGCTTTCAGTGCGAATTCCGCACCGCATTAGAATCGCACCCCGTTCATGCAAACTGCTAAGGGTGTGTATGTTAAGTTAACAACACCCCAAAAGAGATCCGCAAAACGCAGTGTGATGTGCAGCATCGGATCATATAGGTGTGAATACCTATGCAATCCAATTCTAGTGCGGACCCAAAAAAGGGTCCTGCACCTTTTTTGGTGCGGGTGCGATGCGATTAGAGCCATATGGCTCCATTTGCACCGCACACAAATCGCATGTGATTTGCACAGGAATGCGGTGCGGTTCCTGTGCGAATCACATGCGATATACCGCACTGCACATATGTGAAGCCGGGCTTAAGTGGTATTAAACCTAAAAGCAAGCATTTATTATATTGCATCTTACCAGTTCTTACATGCGGTGGCTGCATTAGTTCATTAGCTATCTTTTTTATGCCTACTTTATATTTTCACCTGGTGATTCAGCCAGTAAGTCTGTTGTTTTTCAAAAGAACAAGTTGTCCTGCAGATGTAGCAGGTACAAGGTTGAGACAAACCAATTACTACTGACAGGGGTGCTTACAATGATCAACTTTAGTTTACTTATGCAAAACCTTTATCCCCAAAGGAAAAAAACTGTTTGCTATTACCGCTTATAAAGTGTTAGCTGGAGCTCAGCTTCAATTTGTTAGTGTATCTTAATCTGATAGTTCATCTAACACTCCCGCCCCCCCCCCCCTCGATTAACAATGCAACTGTCCAAAAGTACTCCTGTGCTCCTTCATTCAGAGTGGGGACACTCTGATACAGGAGGTGTGTTACTGGCGAGATCAGCAGGTGAAAAAGCCTAAAAACAGAAAACTAATGCAGACACCACATCTACGAATTGATGACCTGCACTATATTAAATTTTTAGGTTTGGTCTTAATACTGCTTTAAAGAATACAGTGGTGTTTCCTCCCCACCTGCAGCTTGCTGAGTGGACAGTGAGCCTGGGTTTACAGAATCAATAATAAATTATAAAACGACTTCCTGCGCTAAGAATGAGGCTCTATCCCTATAGCTGCTGACACTTAACCTCCTACCAATGTGAGTCCAATACAATAAATAAATAAATAAATAGTGCAGAGCTAAACCATAAATCTAAAATAAATATATATATATAAATAAATACAAAATAAATATATATCATATAAAAGTGCAACCGTGCAAATACAGTATTAATTCAATAA